GTGAGGGCCGTGAGTCCCAGCGTCTCAGGGAAGAGGTGGCTGCTGAGCTCTGCCCTCTGAGCCCAACAACGCCAGCCCCTCACTCACGGGGGGACAGCGGCAAGATGGAGGTTAAGTCTGACTGCTGGGAACCCTCTCTTGGAGGCCTCAAGCCCAGCAGCAGCCTTCAGGCAAGTTGACACCTGTCCCAGGTCCCCCTAAGGGTCCTGCTTATGATCTAGATAGAACTAAGGATGCCCCCAAAATTCTCCAACTTAGCTACAAATCCCAGGGAGCACCCCATCGACCACCCCCCTCTAGCAGCCCCTGGGATCCCCTGGTAGCAGAACAGAGAGTGCAAGGAGACGGGAAATGGATATTCCCCAGCAAGCACCCCTCTGGTAATACATTTGCCGTGCTTCTTAAACAACCACGCGCATTCATTCGCATGCGGGAAGAGCTCTAGGAACAGATAATGTCGGTAATATGTTCTATCTGAACTTTAACTTTCATTTCACTATATTCACTTGCCTTGCTGAGCTGGTGGGGAGGTGGGGGCGACGTTTACTGTGGAAGCTCTTTAGGGAAAAGCAGAGAACATTAATTGCTTCCTTGACCTTTAGCTGAATGTGTCCTCTTGCGCCCACACAGACTCCTTGTAAATGCAGCAGTCTTTGACAAGTCACCTAAGGTACCCAGGATTAATAGATGTCAGAGTACACTAAATCCCAGAAGCATCTCCTAAAGTTCCAATCTTTGATATAAAAACTTTGCCAGTGAGTATTTACTGCACAAGCTGACATCTGTGACTTTGCACTTTCTTTTAAAGGTTAGTTGACCAGATTAACATTGTTGCCTAACAACAACAGCATGAAAACAAATTATTGTTATCTCTTGACTGTATCTAAATAAACAGAACTAGTCATTTCTCCACGCGTAACTACATCTTTACCTCTAGAAGGAAATGAGATTTCAAAACACATGTATGAACATATGATACTCAAAAATCACACAGCTCGAAATAAAGGATCTTCAAAGAAATCTCTTCAAATAGCAATAGCTGTGGTGTTGCATGTATATTCTAAAAGAGCACAGCTCCATCGAGGAAAGTGATTTGAAATCAGTTGTTCACCGAGATGACCACATATCATGGAAAACACTACTGGGTTGAATAAAATTTAATCGACAATGTTTTGTATTAATATCCTCATTTGCACTTAAATACTGAGTGAATACCATGGTCATTCCTGCAGAATTAACCCTCAGAAATTAGTCTAATTTATAGCAGGAAACTAAACTATGTTGACCTGGAGGCTTAAAATAATTCACCTAGACGTGATATTTGGAATTCTAAAAGCAAATACACACATACCCATTAACACATGAATAATGATTTTCATCTCGAAGTCTGACTGCTGTTTTTCAGCGTTGACTTCTATTTAAAGATTTGGAGGAAACATTGTGAACTGGTTTAAAATAAACCAAAGGTTTTATTTTAAATGTGAAGTTCTAGTAATATCGCCACCCTGTCAAGGTTGATGATAAAGATCTCGGCACTGGCAGCCAGTAGAGAAAGCTGATGTGATGAGGGCTCAAGGGCCCCATGGTGGTCCCAAAAGGGAGAAACTCCCTTCCAAACACAAAGGTTGTGTCCCTGAAAGTGCTTAATTATCTGCAGGACCTCAGGTCGAATCTTCAGGAGATTAAGAAAACAGAAGATCTTCTTTAGTTTCTTTAGTTAAGATTTAAAGAATAATTTCCTCCTCCAAATTCATAGCATCAGACAGTGGAATTTGAAGTTAATTTCTGAGATTAACATGCTGTTCTGCCCTTGTTAAATAACTAAAACCTAATATTACACAAAGTGCTGAATTTGGCTTTCCAATATAAAAAACAAAAGACTTCTCTATCTGTATCCTTGGTTACTACTGTAATCTTAAGATATTATTTTATTAATT